ATCTCCACACACATATTTTTTTTCATACAACTTTCTAAGTTTTATTTCTTTGATTGGTGAAGAGGGTAAGAAAAACTCATCTTTTTTTTTGGAATTGAGCATTAAGAATACCACCATGCAACAGCAACCATATATTATTAAAAACCCTGATGACACACGAAAGGAATTTACATTTCAGTTTTGTGTATCTTTGGGAACATTAGTGAGTAACCTGCTAAACCCTACTGCTCAAGTTAAGCTATTTTCTTGCTATCCTCTATGCTACCTGCTAGTCTGTTGCTCTACTGAAATAAAATGCTTCTCAAAAATCAGATGGAAAATTAACAGCTTCATTCTCTTGGATGTATCTGGAGTGTTGGCAAGTAACAGACAATATGCAAAATATTCCTCCCCTCAAATACAGAGCATCTTTACATGACAATGCAGAGCTCAACAGCAGCTAAACTGCTCTGCAAAATCAAGCCATTTTCAGGAATGCTGGAATATTCTTGATATTATATAGAAAAATCAACTCCCAGTATTTGTAAGGCATTTTGAGATCTTTTAACAGGAGCTATAAAAATATATTGGTATATTAAATATTTTCCACCAACTTTAGTAAGAAATTATAATAAGAGCATTACTTTACAGATCAGTAAACTAAAGTACAAAGTGAATACTTGATTTGTGTCTGCTCACAACATGTTAATGTCATACCAAGGTCAGAACTGAGTACAGACTCCAACTGTTCAATACTTCACAATATGGTTTAGAGGGTTTGGTAGTGTTTAGTCAGAGGCTGGACTTGATGATCTTGGAGGTCTTTTCCAACCCTAATGATTCTATAACCAGGAATCACTAGCATAATTTTTCCTTTCCTCTTGGATATCTACTGGGTACAAAAATTCTGTAGCAGAAACACCATTTTGCAAAGCAGTATGACATGAAACATGATTGATCAAGAGTAAAAGAATAAGAGAAGCCCTAAAAAAGTGTAACTACAAGAAGTAAAGCCAATAAGTGACCTCTACAAAGAGTAACTGAGATTGAAGAAAGAAGATTTTTTTCTTCAGCTTCTGTAATCTAGAAAAATCTCATTTTACCTTTGATCTTTCAGTCACTGGAACCAGCAAGTCTCAGATTTTCTTTTTTAACTGTGTCCTATGTCATTCATAAAGAACATCAACTTTGTTAATGAGAAAAAAATACATTCTGCATAGGCTTTATCACAGGCCCAAAAATATTCTTGGCATTTGGTCAGCAGCTCAGCACACCTAAGTCAAAGCAAACTCTTAATAAATGAAGAGACAAAGGTCTCCAAAACCAGTAATTTTTTTATACCCTCACCAGGTGGTTGACTAGGCAAAAACTGGCTGAGGAGCTGCAACAAGACAATGACTTCAAACATAGTACTACACGATAGTACACAGCCAGATAAAGAACTTACAATGTAAAAAAACTGTAAAAAACGGTATCATGCACTTGGGTCATTCATACTCAGTTTCAAGAAAGTAATAGTGCATAAACCTCACATATGGTGTGATTCTTGGGGTGGTCCTGTGCAGGGCCAGGAGTTGGACTCGATTACCTTGTGTGTCCCATCCAACTTAGGATATTCTACAATCTATGATAAATCTATTATAAAAGAAGGAAATACAGAACTTAAGCCCTTCACTGTAACCCAAAACCAGTGCTGGTACACAGCTAATACAGTCTCCCCTCCACAGTTATTAAAACCTTGCCCTAAAATACCTACATTAATTCCACTTTATCTAAAGAAACATCTGCATTTTATAGATTCAGCTACAGTTGGCAATTTCTCAATCACACCATTTGGTTAGGAAACATGTCTATGCCACCCCTTTATGTTTGCTTCATCCATTTTAATGAGCTGAGTGTTTCTGTCCCACCTCTCCAAGTTCATTCACTCATGTACTTCAGTATCTGTTGCAATAGCTCTGTCTGCCATCTTCTGTTCTTCTCTCATCCTTCTTTTCCCTATGAAGTAAGCCTTACTCTTCTGGTCAATTCTTTCATTCAAAGAAAGGAACAGCTCCCCCACAGTGACCCTATGGTCATAACTACAACCTAAGAGCTGGAGAGTGTTAACACTGCAAGAGAAATCTCCTCAGTTCAGGAGGCTGCACAGGATCAAGAAGCTGAGTATTTTGGTTTGTCTTTCAAGTTGGTCTTAACATAAATTTTATTTTATAGTAACAGAAATCAAAGGGGGGAAAATATAAAGTCCTCAAGTGACCCTTAAACATTCCAAACCCCTGGACTTCAGTGGCTACAGTCAGCTTCTAGAACTATTCCTAGATCTAGACTGATGTCATAGATGATGCCAGTAGACAAATAAAAATTTCCTTAATTAAGTTCCACCAGAAACACCGGAGAAAAAAGGAAAGCAATACAGTTTTCTCACAGATTAGTGACATTCTTTAAAAAAATCAAAGAAACTCCTCTGGTACCTGAGTATCTTAGGATGGCCCAAGGAAAACTCAATTTCCCCCCCTCTAAACCACAGAAAGAGTATACTGACTCTACCAGTGATAGAGTCAGAGATGAACTTCATTCCATTTTTCCCAAACATTCTTTCAAATAGCTTTGAAGCTTTTTCAAGTTATTGAAAATTTCTTCTTAAAATTCAAAATATTTTCTTACAAAGCTATTCTTGTCTTTCATTAAATGGGACAAAAAAACCTCAATCCCCACCTGACAAAGTCTTGAGAAGTGAGTAACTCAGGACAGTTTTCTCGATCATAAAGAAAAAAAAGAATTGCTAACAATATAAAATATCATTAGAAAAGATCAAGCAGATCTTATACTTAAAAGACTTCTCTAGACAGCTACACAGGAGAAATCAGTGACTGAACTAGCATTTCCATTCCTTAAGAAACTCGTATCTTTTAGCATTTATTTTATACCAAACCAGGTAGAAGTGTTGTAGCATCAACATGTTTAGCTACACAGAACATTTCCAAAACATTCAATTCATAAATATACAAATATTTTGTTTACATACATCATATTTTTAAACAGAACACTGTGGTATTCCAGAATCAAAGCATTTAAATTGATATGACATTTAACTACATCTGCTGTATGAGCTGTACAAAGATATAAACTATGTGCTGCCCCTGTAATTGTAACAAGTATCTGGGAAGATTACTTAGCAGAACAGATTCCATAGATTGGTCAGGAAAAAAAACATTGTGTCCAGAGAAAACATCCACAGAGAAACTTAATTCATAAGAACATCGGGTTAGATGACTTATAGCCTGTGAGACAGAGGCATTCTAAGGATACTTGTTGAACCAGCTGGAAACTACGTTTCTATTTTCTTGCTAGAAAACAGCAAGAGAATCTCAACAGAGAACACACGATAGAAGATTCCATGGTACTTCTAGTGACACCAACAAACCCCTAGTATGCCATAGTAGAAGAGCAACAGACCGTCAACAAGCCCTTTATATCAAATTGCTGACAAAATGGCAAACTCACAAAGGAAATAGAAAAATCTTATTCACTTTTCCAGATCGAATGATGCCCACAGGACTAACACACCCTTTTCTAAACAATAAGCTGACAAAAGAAAAAGAAATGTACAAGATTCATGTTTTAAAAATTAAACTAAAAAAAAAAAAGTGCATTTCCTGTAAAATTGTTATCTTTTTAATCCTTTCTTGCCCTCTTCATTAGAAAAGAAAAACAAAAAAATGAGCTGGAAAGTTTACTGAAGCTCACCAAAAGTTCTGTATTTCTATACAATTCAGATGGAAAAACTCAAAAGACTGTAATGACCGCAGGAGGTGATGACCATAAAATAGGTCACCAACAACTATAAAGTGTGGCCAGCTGTATTAGAAAAACATTAAATCATTCCATTAGAACATAAGTAAGATGTATTTTCTTTCTTTAAAACCCAAGCTAGTACTACATACTCAAATCACCTCCACTTCTCTAGGATCAATGAAAGAATAAAACAAAAGCCAAAAGTTGACTATTTCTCTTTACTAACCGTGCCTGTATGAGCAAGATTATCAGAAGCTGACATTAAAAAATACCTCACAATTTGTTTAAAGTGCCTAATTACTCCATCATATATCTGCACATAGAAGTTGGCATTAGGTAACGTCTTTCAAGAGAATTAGAGATTTATAATCCCTACGTAACTTATTCACCGATTAATTTTGAAAACTCAAGTATCATTTATAAGCAAAATGTTATTTAACAGTATATGGGAAGAAATCTTCTGGATGTTGACATACTTCACACTTCAGTTACTTACAAAAATGGTTGCAGTATTTTACAAATAAATTCCACAAAACTTTTCTCAAACATCTCAGATTTTATGTTCTGCTTTTGTCTTCAGAATTACATTTTCACTATAAAATTATAGAACAATATTGTATTTCACTTGTAAACCAAATGGCAGCTACTAAAAAAAGTTAGGTTCATGACAAAAATGGGGCTTTCTTCACCTATTAGCACTTGCTTTCCTGAAAAAAAACAACCCAATTATATGACGCTTAATACTACTTTTCTGAATAATATATACATTTAGCACAAAAGCACATAATAGCTATTTTACAATCTTCAGTGATATATTTTATTCTTTGCATTATGCAATACCTGTTTATGTCTAACTCAAAAAAGCCAAATCAAATCCTCACAAATGCTCTTAAGCTTAAACTGACTTACAACCAAGCACTACTTTTGACATGAAAAAAAAGAAATACAGTTGTATCTTCCAGCTGAAAAAATATATTCTTTTTATATATTCTTTTTTTTTTCCTCAAATGAACAGTTTCAGTCACACTAATACAGCTTAACTTAATTCCCAGAAGCAATTGCTAGGAGCAGGGTCAGTATCAGATAATGTTAAGCACCTAACTGGATATTAATTAATGCCTAATATAAATATATATTTCACATGCCAAAGAAATGCACTTTTAAGTAGCTGTAGAAATCAAACAGGCTGTGACAGAAAGAAAAATTGCCCTACACAATCTACTTACTAGCATGCTTATCTGCAAGCATTATAAGGCTGTTAGAAATATCTCTTCGCCTGTAAAAGCACACCACTTTTGCTTCCACATTTCCATTGGCAGTCTACAAAAGAAAGATAAATCAAGTCAGAATGTACCCCTCCTCAGCTGAGTAATACAAATTAAATGCTCTCTGCTTGGGATTTTCCCTCATATCAGTAGTTCTCATATGATTAGTCAGGCTGAAATCAACAGAATTACGCCAATAACTAAAAACTTCCTGACAGAAGCCAGTACCACTTTCAGATCAGACTACAGGATTAACTATAATTATTTAGTCCTCAGAATTTATATATTATTCAGCTGTTCAGAGGTGTAATGCCAGTATCATGCTAACATAAGAATCCTTAAGAAATATTAGAAGCTTGTGAACAGTTCTTTGCAAGACAGCTTTAGACAGAAATGTAAATTTCAAAGTACTCTGGCATTCTTTTTCAAAGTCATATTGAATATAACATGGTTTATTTGAAAAAGTCACTACAGCCCTTTACCCTGATAATGTAAAGAATTTACTAATATTTGAAGAACTGTACCCTCTTTCTCATTATGAAAAGCATAAAATTAGTTTATTACCTTCAGTTATTTATTTAAAACTGAAAAGTATAATGTTTTAATTGAGTTTCTTACAAAAAAACCAGCCAAACAAAAAAACCCCCAAGCCTCTTATCCCTGGTAGAACAGTAACCAAACCATTTAATTATATATTTGCATAATATCATGTTTGCTCAATACCTTTAACACATGAAAGCAAAACATTCACATTTAAGACAGCTGGACTACATCCACCAAACTGTCTTGGGGTTGGGGGGGGAAATCAATACATGACTCTGCTCTACCCTGCACGAGCAAGATTAAATTATGTGCAGTTTAAGGATAATAAACATTACATTCAGAACATGATTGGGATCACTTCAATTACTGTAAATAAAAAAATATTCTTCTCCAATAAAAATCCAGAGTGATTTGCCATGCACAAGTTCAGTGGATGTCGTGTTGGACAGCACTAACAGGTAATGTGGTTGATGTCTGCTATGGAATAGTTTTATGTTCCATTAATAATAAGAAAACCATTTGCAGATCACCAATTTTTTTAATTTACTTTCTAACCACCAGGAGAAAAAAAGGATATAGTTATCATTATTTACATCAGGAAGGGCATTTTGATTAGTAACTTTTGATGTAATGCATCAGTAAGTTTGGAGGGAACAGTAAAAATATGCCATGCTAACAAAAAAAAATAAAATAAAAATCCCACACTGTTCTTAGTAGTATAACAGAGAAGAAAAATAATCATGCTTTCCCCCAGGATGACAGTGTAGAAAGCCTCCATTTTTCAGGAAAATACACCCAGGATGAAGACAAAGAATACAGTCTATATCTCTATTCAAAAGCCCATCCTTCATTCACAGCTGCCAATGCACAGAGCAATAAACAGCCACAGAAGTCACATATTCTGTTATTTGATCACTGCAAAGTCTCACTGATACCTTCCAGCTCTTTTACACGTATATCTAAAAGCAGACATATGACATGATCACTGTCATTCCAGATGGATTCACAGTGTCATCATCATCCAGAGAATTCGTTTAAAAATTTTTATAGCAGAGTAATCCTGTTCACCAGGAAGGATCAGCTGGGTGTTTCCTTAGATAACAGGGCAGCATGAAAGGATATCACACAGCAAGATTTCAGTAGCTGAAACATACACAACACACATAGCAAATCTCAAAGAAGAAAAAAAAACAAACACCAACAACACAAACAAACAAAACACACAAACAAACCAGAAAATCCTACAATAAAAATCTTATGGGATGGAAATAATTTTCAGTTTTTGACAAGTGCACTGATTGTTGTCAAAGCTTAAGAAAGAATTTTAGATATTTGTGTACCTTGTTAAGTTCTTCAATTCTTCTAATGAGATATGGATTGCTGGAAGAATTTTCAAAATAAACATAATCTGCAATAAAAAAAAAAGTCAAAGTTGCTGAAATACCAAAAAACAATATGCAAAAGTATATCATTATTAGTGCAAAACTTTTATTCTAAATCTAGAAGCCCTCAAAGGGCTGAGATGTCTTCAAGAATGTTAAGAAAGTGAAGTATTTCTATGCTGAGATTTAACATAATTTGTTCCTAAATTCTGGTTATAACTGCACTACACAGGCTTTAACAATCATGCTGGGAAAAAAGTTAAACGCCTAGTGTTGAAGCTTACATTGTAATTCAGTAATCCACACACTTCATAAATCTTGACACAGAAGCGGCAGTTTTTCGTAATCAATTAGGGAAGATTTAAGAATTGAGCGCTTTAGTGAGTTTCTACATTACTGAGATAGATATTTCTGTACAATTGCCACCTCACATTTATTATCAGATGCTCTGGCAGTACAGTTGTCCAAATGAGTAATGTACGTTTTACGACCGTTGCTTTTGTTGTCATATCTGTAAGTAAGACGCAAACTATATTAAGCAGCAATAACCAGGAGATTAGTAAGGATCTTCCAGGACAAAATCTCTTCCAGCATCATTCATACAAAAATATTTGCATAGAGCGTATGGAAGTCTACTCGTATCCTGAAAGCGGTTCCCATGTAACATGCAAAGAATTAACATGCAGCACATTTCCTCTGAAAATTTTCTGAAAACTTGTTTTTCTCAATTGAAAAAGTATCCATCAAATGCCAACCACACTTTAAATTTGATATTGGACTTCGTGCACCATGCACCTCGCAGACTTTACTTTTAAAAATTAGAGGAGGAACTATAACAATGTAAAAAACTCTTCTGCAATGCTTCAACACTGCATTACAATGCAACAGAGCTTCAGGTAGCTCCTGTACCTCTAATGAAAGAATATGATCTCTGGATGTTGTTCACAATTACTTATTAAGATTACAACGAAAAAAATGAGAATTGATGACCTTAGAGGCAAATTCTGTTACCTGCTCAGAGAAAGATTACTTTCATGAGTAAAGGCTGATGAGACTACAATCTAAATGCCCTAATGAGGGAGTAGGCAGATGGAAGATTTATGGACATATCAGCACATCTCAAAACATCAGCAGAAAGAGATTTAAACTACTATCACCCCTCATTTCCACGCATCTTCAGCCTCAGTTCTGGCTGTCGAGAGACCAAGAAGATAAAGCCATTTCTGGGTACCCAACATTGCACACCTAACTTGAGCGGTGCACCTGAGCCACAGCGCTCGGCACATTGCCACGTTGGAAACTTATCCGTGTCAATTTCGATAGGCTGGGGGTGGGGAGACAAATGTTCGCCCTGTTGTTCACCGCCTAAATGCCCACCCCCAACCCCCCCGGCCTTCGCCCTGTGCCAAGCAGTCACGTATCAGCGCACTTCTCAGGGGTCACGTTGGCGGGCAGGGAAGCTGACAGAAATCTCCCGGCTACACAGCCGGATTAATTATTTATCCCCGGCACACCAAGGAAGGCGCGGAGAAACTCTGCGGCCGGAGGGAGGGCGCGGGGGCCGGGGAGCGCCGCGGAGGGAAGCGTCCCCCCGCGTGGGCGCCGCCCGCAGTCCCGCACCGCCCGGGCCCGCAGGCCGCGCCGGGACAGGGCCGGGGACACACGGCCCCGGCGGGCGGCCCCTTCGCTCCGGCCCGACGGGCGGCCCTCCGCTGCCCGCCGGGGAAGGAGGCGAGCGCGAAGGCGGCCGTGCCCGGCCCGCGGTGCGGGGGCTGTGAGCCGGAGGCGCCGCTCCCCATCCCGCGGAGGGCGGCGCTGCCCTTCTCTTCGGCGCGGGGCCGGGCTCCCACCCGGCCACGGGCCGGCGGGGGAGAACCTGCGTCCTCCCCCCGCCCCGCGGAGGGCCCGGCGGCCCCTTTGCCGGGACCGGCTGCCGCCTCCCGCCCGCCCTAAGCCGGGCCCGGCCGTCCGCGCTGGGGGCGCGGCACCCGAGGGGGGGGGCCGCCGCTCTGCGCCGGCAGCGGGCGCGGGGGGCTCGGGCCGGCGCCGCCGTGTCCCCACATACCTCCCACTCGGTACATGTGGCCGCCATGTCTGCGCTCTGCGCCGCCCCCTCCTCCTTCCCGCCGCCTCTGCCGGGCCGGGCTGGGCAAGAGGGAGCGGCTCGCCGCCGCCCCCCGCGCCGCGCTCGCCCCCTCCCTGCGCCGCCACCCTTCCGCGCCGGCGCAAGGACAACAGCGCCCCACGGGGCCGCGGCCGCCACTTCTGGAGCCGCCGGCGGGGAAGGGGTTAAACGGCCGCCCCCGCCGCCCCCCGCGCACCGGCCCCGGGGCGGGTCCCGGGCAGGGCCGGGCCGCAGGTGGGGTGGGGCCGGGCCGGGCGGGCCGGGCGGCGCCGGGGGAGGTGCGGGTGCGCGGCCCCCTGCCCCGCTCCCCGCCGAGCCCCGGGCTGCCCGCCGGTGCCCAAAGCCCGCCACGTCCCACCGGCTCCCGCCGCTTTGTCCCTCTCCTCTCTGAGTTGTTTTTCGGGGGGGCGGGGGGAGTTTGGTGGTGGTTGCCTCTCCCCCGGAGCCGCCGAGGGACCTTTATCCACAGGCAACTCTCGGTAATATCCCGAAGAAAGTTTGTTTCTTGCGCAGCACCTGTTGGTGATGCGTTTGGCGGCCTCTTTGTTCGCCCCCGGAGCGGGTCCCGCGGGCGGCTCTGGCGGCCCCAGCCCTCTCTGAGCTCTCCGCCGGTCGGAGAAGGCAGCTTGCTCGCAACAGGCAGCAGAAAGCCTTTACGACAGAATAAAGATAAATCTAGCAGCTCTCCTCGGAGTCAGGAGGCGTTGAAGGAGATGCTTACAAATCATCCGATGAGAGGGATACTTCAAAAACATCAATATTGATGTAACACGGAGCCATTTCCCTGCGTTTATACAAAGTTCACACCATCACAAACAATCCATGCACTTTACAAACAAATTGATCCTGCTGTGGAATGCTTCCTTGGGAGAGAAACGCTTGTTATCATCTTCCTGCAAGGAAGGGGATGATTTATTTTGTTTCATGTCCTGGATATTTATGTGTGTAGCTTGAGCATTAGCAAGTTAACATTTCACTTCATCCTGAGCTGCAAGGAAACACATTGATTGGAAGAAGGATGATCTTCCCTGGTGTTTCAAATGATCATATCCTTTCTTTCCTTCACCCTTTAAGCAAATCTGGGACTATCAAGTTAAGATTTCGTCTTTTAGGACAGTTTTAATTTCCCAAGTGACTACTTTATGTCAAAGAGGCAACTGAGTACCAAATTCCTGAAACACATAAAGCAGGCATGTGATACAGTGATTTAGTCTTCTTTAATAAACGGCAACACATTCAAGCATTGAAAGGAGAAAAGGGGAATATTCCTCTGTTTTGTCTCCTGATGACAACATCTGAGCTGAAAATAAAGTCCACAAAAACTCCTTGGGAAGTACCAACTCTGTTCGGCTGGTTATTTCCAGAGGTACAACACGACCTTCGCAAAGACCTGGGATGTTATTTAACTCTTCTAGTTTACTGCTTGGGTAAATGAAACTGGTTAAATTTTCAAGGCAAGAGAACAGTTAAATTAAATAGTACGTTTGTCACAGTCATTATCAATTAAACAAAATGCCTCCAAGCTCTTTTTCCTCATTTTAAGTCTGCACTTCGACATTAGGGAAATTCCCACACTTTGAAGTTTACAATGTATCCTCATCCAGTAAGGAGGGGATTTAGATAGACTGTTGCTTCCACCAGCTGAGGGCATGGCCTATGGAAAAGGAAGGCAGCTCCTGAAAAGACAGAACATGGGAGAGCAGCCTAGGAAAGCTGATGTTCCCATCCTGCCCTTTCAGGTGGACAGCCTAATAATAGTAAGACAAACAGTAAGAAAATAGCATGAAAACCACCTTTATTTACAGTTGCCTGACTAAAGCATGCATCACAGCTAAATAAAGAATGGTGTTTATATGCCTTAGTACTGAATCACTTCTTGTTCACAGTGACACGGGTTGTATAGTCACCAATAGCACAACCTGATGTCCTGCTGTATTTCCATAGTTCAAAGTCACTGCTTTGGTAGTGGGCACAGCTGGCTAGTGGATACAGAGTAACAGGACTGGCAGTACATTTTACTTTGGTGTAACAAATACAAAAGGCTGGATACAGTTTATTTTCAGAGCTCCCTCGTGTACAGAATGGGAAAAATTAAAGTTATGTAAACATCTTCATTTTTCTAGATTAAATACAATGGAAAACTCTTGTTTCAACCACAGGACTGTTCAGAACAAAAGATTCAGGTAACAGCTTTGTCTTAACGTGGTAAATGAACTGTATTTAGCTATAGACTAAGATTACTCGTGTTGTTCGAAAGAAACCACATTTCTGTAGCAACTTAATTAAAGCTGCAAAATAGATTATTTCTGTTAGAGATGCAAGTTACCTGAGAACTTCATTCCACAACTTTGTTGGACCATCCTGAGCAGCCCATCATTCCTCCTCATAATCCTTCAAAGAATAGCCAAGAAGAAAAGAATGGAGTGTAAAAAGGATCGTTTTAAAACACAGACCAATTCTGAGGTCCAGGGCGACCAACTGCCTCCATGGTAAGCTAGATCAGCAATCCTGAAGGAGATGGAGATGAAGCACTGAGAGCAGAGATGCCTGAAAACCTTTCATGGCATTCTGAACACAGTGTCTATTGACTTATCCAGGCTGCATACTCTTTATTGGCTTTTTCACTTTAGCATCACCAGATGCATCTAAATCATATCTATTAAACACCCATTAAGCTGACTGGAGCTATGCAATTTTCGTAACTTATTTTTAAAAAATGTAATGATGAAATATTTTTTTTAGTAGAGATAATACAAAAAGCTTCACTTTTTCTTCAAAGGCAATTTAAGATTTCTTTCTTATATGTGGAATTAGTTGGACAAAGGGAGTCTGCTATCAGATAATTTAGTCCTGAATTTTCATTTTTGATTCTCTGTTGCTTTTCAGACACCATGAGTTGCATTCAGTCAATAGCAGAACTCTGGCTGTTCACAGTAGTTTAGAGGTTAGGATAAATCCTCAAAAATTCCTGCATCAAATAAAAGTTCCTCACCACTGATGCGCTTTTCCCACTATTGCAGAGCCAAAATGAAGCTTTCAGAAAGCTCTGACAACTTTATCACTACATAAAGTGGCAGAAAAAGAGACTTTCCCTTGCAGCTGTTGTACAGCATCCTGTTTTGTATCCAGAGAACTTAATTTTATCAGTTCCCAATTTCAAGAGTTCCTTAATTTCAAAAAGCCTGAATACAACCAACACCAAATACTCCATCACCAAAAAAAATCCAACCTATAAGATTATTCATAAAATTTACCACTACTGAAGACAAATCTTAAAAAGTTACTTGCTAAATGATTATACTGATAGTCTAGAGGACTAAAGTAAAATATATTGATAGAGGTGTGTTCCAGATCAAAATACTTCAGGATCATACAGGTAGAAACATCTTACTGAAATCAACAAAAACATTGAAGAAGAGAGTTGCTTGAACCTTAATAAAAGATGTTTATCTTCCTGTGGAGCTTTCATAGAGACTCACCCTCATGCTAATGCAACAGAAAGGAAAAGGCCTTTCCCATCCTTGGGTCACACCTATGGAACCTGCCTAACTGAGAGTGGCTGAGCTTAGAGTGTTTAGGGGTGTTTTTGGCACAGGTAATTTGGAAGCACAGAAAACATTTGGCAGTTCAAGTTTATGAGTTCATGCCAGAGAATGTGACTCCCTTGCTAGTAAAACTTTCCTACAGCAAATAAACCATCTGCATGCACATAATCCATGCAAAGAGTAAAAAAAAAAAAAATACAAAGGAGTTCACAAATGATCTTTCTTGTCAGCCTAAACTGCTACATTGAGAGTAAATCACCATCACAGTGGACTTGGGTAATTTACGGACTTGTCTCAGCTCAAAAAAAAATATGTAGTCTATAGAAAGTCACTTTCATCTCGTGTGAACAAACATGACAGCCAATACAGTTGCACATCGATCAGACTCGCTTAGAGGCAGCTAAAAGTACATGCACTTCTTTTTTACCAATGCAAAGACACACCATAGCTTGCAAAACTTCATTAATGAATTTGTAGCAGAAACAAAATTCATACTGGTGTCACTTAATTAATCACAGAAGAAAATTATTTTCCATGTCAATACTCATGATGACATTTATTAAAAAACTTGGATAACTTCCATTTTGCAACAAACATTATATAAAGTGGTTTTTTTTTAATTTACAGGAATACAAAAATCAGTGTTTATTATCATAAGCAATAAAAACTTTTAGCTGCCTCTACAAAGCAGAAATTAGGTGCAATCTCTAATAGATGCTTCCATCAACTTCTTTATAAATCAGAAAAAAAATCCCAACTCTCTCACTAAAGGAAATCATCTTCTCTTGGCATCAGAAATAACGTTGGCTTTTTTATTGACTCTATGAGTCAGATTTCTCAAGAGACTCTTAGCTAAATATATCGCTATTTTCATTAAATATGATTTAAACAATAGCTTAAAGCTAATTGCCGAATTATTAGTAGTCTGCAGATTTAGATGTTCAATCCAAATCTTAAAGTCATAGGAATACCACTAAATCAACGTGCAGACAAAAATGGTGCTTATGGTTGGCAACAAGTTATTAATTGACAGGGGAGTTAAAAACAGATATTGGGTAATGGTTTTTTCAATAACTATCATACTGCTATATAGATTGGTGCTATAGCCTAGCATACGGCACTGCTTTGACACCATACATAATTTCATTTCCCATTAATCATACAATTGAATCAAGGTCTTTTTTTTTTTTTTTTTGTGCAAAATAAGTCAGATCTGGACCTATAGGTACTGGTCTTCTTGTTATGACTGAATTTGCTTTAATGAAAACCACTCCATTGCAATGGGAATAGTACTATAGGTTTGATGGAGAGAGGGAGGAAGGGATGGTGAAATAGGGTTTATTATTATTCTTCTACTAAAGGCTAGATAGGCAAGAAATGCGTTTCTTCCACTCCAGAGGCATAATTCTGTTTTTGATAACAGTCTTCTCAGTAAGAGAGTAAAAATCTTATTTTTCTACTCAGAGTTAAAAAAAAAAATAAATAAATTTACCAATCTAGAGCTTTTGCTATACCTACCAATTTACTTTGCAGCTCACATCCTAATGGGGAAAAAGCCTGCAGCTCTAGGATTCAGTTTTGTGCACCATTCTGTTTGCCAGTTTTAGAGAAGACTTAGGTTCATGTCTAGTTTCTGTTAAAGTCAATGTGAATTTTGTGGTTGACTCCAGTGAGGCTAAAGCAAGACCTTTATACACCTTTGTTATCTTTGTCGTAGACAAGACTGTGAATCAGAGCAGTTAGAAGCACAATGGAGTGTTGGATACATCTGCAGCACTCCAAAATGAAGCCATTTGGGGCTTCAACACAATACTAGATAGATATTAAACACCCTGCACTGAATTTACTCTTTATCTCTCCCTTTCTCTCAACTGATCTATTTTTTGTGCTTAACACCTGCTAAAGAGCTGTGAAAGGTGCTTAATGACACCTATTTAAGTAGAGTACAGTACATTCATCTGAGCAGAATTAATTTAAGTCAAGGGCTCAGCATCTGTTCAGTTCAGATTTTCTGGGGCTTGAATGATCTCAGGCAAGCAACCCCAAAGCACAACT